AGGTAGATTGTTTTCACTTTAAGGAAAAGCTACTCCTATTCCATAAATGACTGTCTGAGGAACCTAATGCATCCTTGTGATGCAGTCAGGAGACTGCTCATCCAACACTTGGTGCAGAGACTAAAGATTAGAGGTCCAAAACTGCACATAGTAGAGGAAGAGAATAATTAGATGACAACGCTTGTCTCCAGCAGCAGCAGCAGGTTACTTGGCTTTTGTGGTGCTCCCAGACACTAATGGCTGGATTACAGATGCATGGAGAAACAGCAGTGGGAAAAAAGCCTACCAGTCCTGACTTCCACATCTCTGTCTTAGCCCAAGGTGCTCAGCCACCTAAGGAAGTGCTTGTCATTTGGTGATGAGAATACCATGTTATACAAAATGTAATGACTCCAACTTTTGTGCTGTCTCTCAAAGTGTGTATTCCTCTCAATGTGAGGCTTGAGAATCTTGACAGGAAGACAAACTAGGCAACAATATCAAGCTAGTTCTAGATATTAAGTATCAGAGAGATGAGTTACCAAGCAGTTTTCTAAATGCTACTGCAGAAAATTGAGGCAAAAATGCAATCTCTCTCTCTTGGCAAGCCTACCAATTCTCAAGGATAGAAGATAGAGGGATAGAGGACAATTATTCTCTTTGCCTCATAAGTATGAAAGTGAGACTAGAGCCTTTGGGGTTCACTCTGCTAGTTGTTCCTGTGAAAGACCACACAGTAAGTTTCCAAAAAGAGCTTGGATTCCAGCATCCTAGGCAGTTTTGCTTCAGGTGAGTTCTATGCGCTGAGCTACTGCTGAGTTTCAGTAACTGTGGTGGTTTCATCACCACTGTGTTTCTAGAAATGGTAGTCATTTTGCAATGAGCTTTGAGATACTGTGATTTTAAAGGACACTAGAGAAAATCAAATTCTGCGATATCTTTCTGTTATGAGCATTAAAGCTGTAAGCATTGGCTTTGCAGAAAGGGACATCTAGTGGCTGTACAAAAAAAAAAGCCTTACTAAATACTTTTAATGAAGCCTTATCAAATACTTGCATGTCTGACTAAATAAGTCATATGTGTATGACTACTGTATGACATACCTACTTGTGTATGACCTGCTGTCTTCACTATTCCATACATCTTTGTAGCTCTGCATCATGTTTTTGCTGGGATTGTTCTTTATGTTTTTGGCAAAACAACAAACATCACCTTTCTAGTTTTATGTAGGTCTACGTATGGTAGCTTGGCAAACAGAAAACTGCCTTCAAGCCATGCTTGGTGTACTTCACTGCTACACTTCCACATTTTCTATAGTATCTTCCAAGCGTCCACTGCCTGCTGTTTCCTTCTGCCATTGCTTTCCCTTTTGGTACTGTATTTGGAGAGGTTGTCATTGTTATTGTCATGGTAAAATCTACTTTCTTTTGAATGCCCATAGCATAAAAGTCAGCAGGAGGGGTGGATGAGATTCAGGGAAACACTAATCTAAGCACTCAGTCATGTATTACACACAAAAGTTTGTTCCTTTCCCATCCATGTTGTGCTCCTTCTTACCAGTCAAGGATGAATTCCATGCATGTTTCTGTGAATAGGCTGACAGTTTAATCGGTACATTTGCATATGGGCAAACGGAGCTTTTTTCAAAGTTGCACAGTAATATGTTTCACCTTTATGCCATGCCAGCTTCAAATTGCATCCCAGGAGGATTGCAAATGTGCATAATCTGTGTGGTTGTCTGAGCTTTTTTTAATTTTCTTTTTTTTTCCTGCTTTTTTCTTCCTTTTTTTTTTCTCTATTTTCCTGAACTGGCAAACACCTATTCATTGCCCATCTGGGTAAGAATGGCCTTTGCATTTTCACACCCATTCTTTCCTATATGGTTTGTGAATACTCCTCCAATCAGAACTTGCTTCACAGAAAAGGGACAAAACCATTTTACAGGAGTTTCTCAGAATTAAGTCCATTGGGATCTCTACATCATGTTTACTGGACAAAAAAAGGGGGGGTACTTAACAAAGACCACTTGAATTTCATAAAAAGGTTCCCACTGTCTTGAATTTAAAAGAGTGGCAGGCCTGAGAAGAGCCTGAGACAGCAGTCTTTTTCCTGAGCCAGGCATTCTGTGCAGTGACGAGTAGGTGAGTGTGCATGCATGTAGCTGGGTCTTGTGAAGAGCTGACACACTTTCTGGCTTGTCCAAGGCTCTAGCAGTCTTTGTAGGAATGTAGCATTTACTTTAGAATCAAACTTGCATTGGTAAGTCTGCCTTTTATGGGGAGCATCCCCTTGGGACTTTCAGCTTAGATCAGTATACAGTAAGGGACAACCAGAAAACTTGGATCTGGGCAGTTTCCTGCAGAAAGGGAGAGGAGCTGCATGGAATAGCAGGTTTTGCTACAGACCAGTCCCTGGAATTTGTTAAAGTTGCTCTCTTCTACTGCTGTGGTTTGTGTAGTAGCATCTTAGACGCAATTGTGGATTATTTGTTTCCTGTACTTTGGGCAGGCATAGTTTTCAATGTTGACTGTCAAGGAAGGTGGCCTAGAAGAAATATCCTCAAAATCTGTACTAGCTTTTTTACTGTTGTGTGTCTCGTCCACCCACCTTTCTTGTTTTATCCTTCAGGAGTGAACTTCAGTTGTTTCTCAGTTAAAGAAGTGGTAGCTGTTCCAATTTAATTTGAAAGAGTAAAGAAATGAGAAGACATGTTAGAAACATGGTTGCATGGAAAGGGAGCCCTAGAGTCAAACCAAGTAATGATCAGTAGTTTCTGATGGAAAGATTTCTAGCATACTGATAGGCAACTACTGAAAGGGAGATGGAGATAAATGGGTAGCTGTGCAATCACTTGCCATGGCCTACAAGAGGTCTTGAAAAGAGGGGTCATCTGTTTATCATTAGTCTTCAATCCTTCTGTTTCCCCACCAGCACAAAGCTTTTACCAAGTTTTCTTCTTTTCAGAACAAGGATTCTGACTTTCTATGTAAATACATTTTGAATCCTCATGTGATCTGACATGTTGGGAAGGGAAGAATCTGGAACTGCCCTGAAAGCCTCTGGAGAATGACTCTGGAAAGAGGGGAATACCTCTCTTCTGTACATTATTTTGTGTAATAATAGTTGCAGTGCCCTTGAAGGAAAGTCTCCCAGGTTCTAAGATATTTTCTAGTGCTATGATCAGTCACATCAGAGGAAATCAGCAGAGCTTATGGACAAGACAGATGTAATGCACAACCTCCATGATACTATTAGTAGTTTCCTCCTTGTTCCTGCTATGTGAGTTTCCCCCTAGTGCTCTAATCTCACATGGAAATTAGTACCCTTCTGATACTGGCTGGTTTACATTTGTTAACATCAGATTTCTTCAGCTTGGTCCCATCAGGATTTCCAGTTCCTGACCTTTGTGTTTCCCTTTTATCATTCATCTGTTTCAGAGAATTAAAGTAACCATCTGTGTCCAAGGTGATTTGTCTTTGAACCACCAGAATAGAGGGTGCTTGAGATGTCAGGAGTAGATAAATGAGAAGGAAAAGGAGAGCAGGGAGGATGCCACATTTTCCTGCAAATTGCAGAGAGTATATCTGTGTATGAGACGTAAAGCACCCCTTAGGCTGGAGCAGAGGGACACTGTTGAGCTAAAAGGCATCCAGATTAAACCACTTTAAATGCCTTGTATTTGTTCTGTATATTTCTGTTAAAGCAGACAGTAACAGTAAGCTAGTTTAATTTACTCATGCTTCTCTACCAAATTTCACTTTTGGATTCTCACAAATGAACAAGTAATTGTGGCAGAGGGGTTATAGCTTTAGTAGAAACATTCAAAGCAGAAAGACTGTAATACTAGTGGTGATTTTGCATTACTTTTCTCTGCATACTTTTCTAGGAACCAAGGTGATGAATGCACTACAAATGCTAAGAGAAAGAAATTTTTGGTAATGTTTTATTTGTTTACCACTTAGAGGGCACTTGGTTTTTCATCGTTGAAAGGTCAAACCATAGCTTCTGCCCATCAAAATCTAAAGAGACAAAAAATAAGTAGAGAACATGAAAGGAAATAAAAGAGCATTAAAACCAAAGCAAGCAAGATGGAGATAGGGAAGAGTGGACTGAGAGATAAGAAGTTACTTTTTAGTCACTTGTAAAAGTCAGTTGTGAAGGTTATGTTGGCTCTGTACCTGAATTGGTTAGGTGCTTTTCTAAACTGTTCTCTATTTAGATTATTCAGGCAAATGAAGACAAAGTCTTCCTTAGAGTAAATGTCTGTAATTTTCCAGTTTCTGTCAAGTAAATAACAGCAGGAGAACATTTGTTTTTATGTGATGGCATTCTGGTGCCAGTCAGAACTGGGGATATGCTAAAACTGAAGCGGACAACTCATGTTAACTTTTTTGCTTTGGGTTCTTACAGAGGACTGTTTGTCACTACTGGGTAGCAAATGTTCTAAACCACAACCCCAGACAAAACTGTGCGTGGGATTTTAGGAACATTTACAGCCTAAATCTTTAACCAGATTTGAATTTTACGAAGTGACTGCCAGTTTTTTAGATAGAAGTAACTGTACTGTAAAACACAGGCTCCAAATTCCTTGAAATACCAATCTAGATAGAAATCACATTTTCATACACACTCTTTGCATTAACAGCGTGATCTAAAGGGTCATTATAGTAAGAATCTGATCTTTTCTGGTGTGGGTTCACATCTGAACAACCTAAAATCCACTTTTAATCTGTTAGCTCAAGCTGTCTCTAGGCTTTTTAAAACCAGATAAACTGGCTTTAAAACTTTTTCCTATTAATTTAGGACTTGAGCTTCTGCAAATATATAGCAGAGCATACTTCCCGCCTTACAAAGGTGCTGTCTTCTTATCGGTGATTTTGTATGTGATTTTCACAGTATAATCTGTTTCGTGTGCCCAGTGGGCAGTCACCTTCTCCAATGCCCTGACTGTGACTCTGCAGAGGACAAGACTCAATCTGTTTTGTTTTTGTTTTTGTTTTTTGTCACCTGCTTTGCTCCAGGTAACATCAGTTGCAAGGGGATGACAGAGCGCATTCATAGCATCAACCTTCACAACTTCAGCAATTCTGTGCTCGAGACCCTCAACGAGCAGCGCAACCGTGGCCACTTCTGTGACGTGACGGTCCGCATCCACGGGAGCATGCTACGCGCCCACCGTTGTGTGCTGGCGGCTGGCAGCCCCTTCTTCCAGGATAAGCTGCTTCTGGGCTACAGCGACATCGAGATCCCCTCAGTGGTGTCAGTCCAGTCTGTGCAAAAGCTCATTGACTTCATGTACAGCGGGGTGCTGCGGGTCTCACAGTCAGAGGCCCTCCAGATCCTCACAGCTGCCAGCATCCTGCAGATCAAGACTGTGATTGATGAGTGCACAAGGATTGTCTCTCAAAATGTGGGAGAGGTCTACCCGGTCATTCAAGATTCTGGCCAGGAGACGCCGAGGGGAACACCCGAATCAGGCACCTCGGGGCAGAGCACCGACACGGAGTCTGGCTACCTGCAGAGCCATTCACAGCACAGTGTGGACAGGATCTATTCAGCCCTTTATGCCTGTTCCATGCAAAATGGGAGTGGAGAGCGCTCCTTTTACAGTGGAGCTGTGGTCAGCCACCATGAAACAGCCCTGGGGCTCCCCAGGGACCACCACATGGAAGACCCCAGCTGGATAACCCGGATCCATGAACGATCGCAGCAGATGGAGCGATACCTCTCCACCACTCCGGAGACCACACACTGCCGCAAGCAACCACGGCCTGTACGAATTCAAACCCTGATGGGCAACATCCATATTAAGCAGGAGATGGAGGATGACTATGACTACTATGGCCAACAGAGGGTGCAGATCCTTGAGCGCAATGAGTCTGAGGAATGCACTGAGGACACTGACCAAGCAGAAGGCACTGAGAGTGAGCCCAAAGGGGAGAGCTTTGACTCGGGAGTCAGTTCCTCCATTGGCACTGAGCCCGATTCCATGGAGCAGCAGTTTATGGCTGGTCTAGGCCGGGATGGGCAGCAAGAACCTTCTCAAGCAGATCAAAATGACGTCCCTGCTGATGGCACTCAGCCGCAGCAGCAGCAGCAGCATGTAGATGCCAACTCTTCCTCGCCAGAGAGAAGCAATGACGTTGAAATGGACAACAAAGTGCTCACAGTCAATAACAGCACCGAAAAGGGGGCTTTGCAGCCTTCTGTCAACACAACTGTTGCCCAACCATTGCCAACCACACAGATCTACTTACGCCAGACAGAAACCCTCACCAGCAATCTGAGGATGCCACTGACTCTGACCAGCAACACTCAGGTCATTGGCACAGCTGGCAACACCTACCTGCCTGCCCTTTTCACCACACAGTCTGCTGGCAGTGGCCCTAAGCCTTTTCTCTTCAGCCTGCCCCAGCCTTTAGCTGGCCAGCAGGCACAGTTTGTAACAGTGTCCCAGCCTGGCCTGTCAACCTTTACTGCCCAGCTGCCAGCCCCACAGCCCTTGGCTCCATCTGCGGGCCACAGCACAGCAGGTGGGCAAGGTGAAAAAAAGCCTTATGAGTGCACTCTCTGTAACAAGACTTTCACCGCCAAACAGAACTACGTCAAGCACATGTTTGTACACACAGGTAAGAGTACGTCCCTTTGGCTTATACATGAAACCAGAGAAAGTCCTCGATAAACATGGACTTAGTTTCTGTTTCCCCACAGCCTCTGTACAAACAGGAGGGAGCTGGTATCACTGAACACTTTCCCAGCTTACTGCATTGAAGTTGAGCCCCTGCAGAAACATATAGGTCCCTTATGGGGCCTAACTGTGCACGGTACAGAAACAAGCTCATTTTACTTGGAGTGAAATGTGGCCTGCACCCATCCAAGGAAATGGTAGAGGTTTGTTGTCGCTTGTAAGCTGACCAGGCAACATTAAGTAGAAAAGGCATGAGGAAAAGGTAATTACAAGTCATTCAAGAAAAACTGTATCTACTAAAAAAGGGCACTCGCCTGTAAGTTTTACAGGTAGAGAAGTTCAAGTGATGATCACTGGCATGAGTTTAGGGCAAGTTCATTCCTCATGGAATGGCAGCAGTAGTTCCAGGCCTGTGTGTTAGACACACTGCCAGATATTTTCTAAATCTTCTATATTCCTATAAGAAAGTAAATTAGGAGTTTTTTTCAGAAAGTTCCTCTGTACTTCACTGAAGCTGACTGCTGTAATCCCCTGTGGTAAGTCAGATGCTTCACTAGCTGTGCATACTGAAACATTTAGAAATGTAAGGAAAATTTTAAATAATAAATGTAGAACACAACATCAGGACCCTTTTTGTTTAAAAATGCAACTGCTTTGGTATATGGTCTTTTGAGATGATTTAGGTAGCCATGTTTACTATGAAGCCAAAACTGCCTTTTCTGGTTTTGTCAAGTTACAAGACTTCAAAACAAGGAGCTAGATCTATCTTACATGAAGAAGCTATTCTGGGTTCAGGACTAAATTTTGCTTGCTTTAGCCCTCAGCTTATTCTGATGTTGGAGAGAAATTCTAGTTTAGAGAAAGAGTAAATATTTCTCTCACCAAGCAGTGGTTTTGTTAACGTCAGATCCTAAAATAAATGCTGCGTTTGTGATACATGAAGTAGAGCCTGGAGAAATTGCCCAAGGTATGGGAGGAATGTAAGTCATGAGTCCCCATTGTATCCAGTAGATTGCACTTCCATATGCATATGTAAACTTTTAACTTCTATTTACCTGTAATTGCCACTTAAATGAAAAATTGCCCTAGGCATCTAAGGCAGACTTATACATGTCCATATATACAAAAAGGTCAGCTTCTCAGCACTGGTACAAAATGTATGACTGCAAGGATCAAGAATCCTGAATCCCAAGATTGTGTCTGTCTATGTTCTCTATTTTTCTGTTGTGAATGAGTAGCTAAAATACTAAATAGTGCTGTGATATTCAGAAAAAAATACCTCTTCAGAACACAGTCAAATATATCTGCTTGCACCCTTGTTGTGAAGAAAGGCTTCTTCACAAAACACTTAACTGAGATTAGGTGCTTTATTTCCCCCACCCCAACTGTGCACTGCATTTGATATTTGGAATCAGATAAAAGTAATATTGGAAGATCTGGCATAAATATTCCTGGCTACTGCACATAAAGTCAACCAAGGAAATTGATAGGCACCTCTAATCACTAAATAATACCTTATTTGTGTGGGTCTGAGAATTCCCAAAGTAATGAATTGTGGTGTGTCGTGGTTTAAACCCAGTCAGGTAATTCGTTCGCTCACTTCCCCCCCTTTTCTTGCCCTCCCCCTGCTCTCGGAGGGACGGAGAGGAGAATCGAAAAGAATGCAACTCCCACGGGTTGAGATAAGAACAGTTTAGTAACTAAGGTATAACACAAATCACTGCTGCTACCACCAATGATAATAATGATAAAGGAAATAACAAGGGAAGAGAATACATCATCTCACCACCAGCCGACCGATAACTCGCCCCCCCCAGCCCGACCAAGCTCTGACCGATACCTCCTCCAACCCTGCAGTCTCCCAGCCCTTCCGGCTAACTCCCAGTTACATCCCGGGCATGACGTGCTGTGGTATGGAATACCTCTTTGGTCAGTTTGGGTCAGGTGGCCTGTCTCTGCTTCCTCCTGGCTTCCCCTCCTCCCTGGCAGAGCATGAGGCTCACAAAGTCCTTGGCCAAACCAAAACATCGCTTGTTATCAGCTCTGTTCCCGAGCTGAAAGTCAAAACATTGCACTGCACCAGCTACCAAGAAGGGAAAAAATGACTGCTACTGCTGAACCCAGGACATTATCCACCCCTTATTCCATACCATTCAAGTCATGCTCAGATCCCACATTTTCAATATACCATCACTCTTATCTCAGTGCACTCTTATCTTAGTGCATGGACCAGTCCCTATAAAGCTGCTGAGTCCATCTGGTCCATGATGTCAGGCTCCATCTCTTGTAACAGTCTTCCAGAGCAGGAGAGACTGTGTGCAGTGTTCACACTCGTGAATAACCTGGGCAATAGTGTCCATTGCTAAGTCCACCCCTCGATCATGAGGCCATCTCTGTGTTGCATCTCTGCTCTGATAGCCTGAAGTGCCATGGGCCCACCAGGCTTAAAATAATTCACTGTCCCCTTAAGCAGTTTCTGCAGCTTGTTGCTGGGGACTCCATACAGCTGCCTTCCATCTCCGATGCTTCCAAAGCACTGGAGGGGCCCAGTGGACTAGATACTTGCCCATACTGTCCCACACACCCTGCCACTCATGACTGTCCAGCTTTGGGGAAAATCTCTTGGTCCCCCCATATCGTCGTCTAACCCCAGACAAGACCCAAACCTGACTCTGCTTAACTTTTGAGATCAGACAAAATGATGGTGGGTAGAACACAGCCTGTGTGTGTGCCAACATGCTGATCCCCATCACGATCAGCAGGCAGGTACCAAGGACACCTAAAGGCCATTCAAAACCTTCAGAACTCTCAGTTGATGCTGCTGTACTTGTCACTGGGGCTGGTGTAGCTGCTGTGCTTGCCGGCTCTCCCACCGCCAGCTTCTCTTTTCCTGAGCCCAGCTCTTCCTCCTCTGCCTTGCTGGGAAATGCTGCGTGGTCTCCTGCGTCCTCCTGGGGCTCGGCGGGCGGCTTCCGGGAAACGCTCTCGGCCGTCGCGGGGCTGGGCTCCTCCGCGGGGCTCGGCTCCTCCGCGGGGCTCGGCTCCTCCGCGGAGCTCGGCTCTTCCGCGGGGCTCGGCTCCTCCGCCGCCTTCTCCCGCTGCTCGGCAGCCGCCTCCTTCTGCTCCTCGACCGCCCCGACCTCCTCCACCGGCAGCCGTCCCCTCGCGGCCTCCGGCCCCGCTCCCGCCGCCGCTTGCTCCCCGGGGCCGCTCTCCCGGGCTGGTTCGGCTGCCGCCGGCTCCCGGGGCCGCTCCCCCTCGGCTCCCCACAGCCTCACGAAGATGGAGAGTAGGGTGAGGGCCAGGACGGTGAAGAGCAGCCGGACGGCCAGGTACAAGTCCACGGCCACGTCCGTCCCGCCCTGCTGCTGGAGCCCGCCCGTATTACAAGCCATTGCCATAAAGCACAGTGAGACAAGAACCTTAGCCCAGGCCCCATACTTGATAAACACTATCACAGCAAATACCGGCTCTACATAAGTTACAACATTCTGAAGCTGTGAGATCAAGCGAAAAAACTCTGAGAGCCAATAAATCAGCATTGTGACGAGTGACTATTAATTCAGTCAAATCTGTCGTTATCTCAACCCTTCGTGCCCCACGTTGGGCGCCAAAAAGAACTGTCGTGGTTTAAACCCAGTCAGGTAATTCGTTCGCTCACTTCCCCACTTTTTCTTGCCCTCCCCCTGCTCTCGGAGGGACGGAGAGGAGAATCGAAAAGAATGCAACTCCCACGGGTTGAGATAAGAACAGTTTAGTAACTAAGGTATAACACAAATCACTGCTGCTACCACCAATGATAATAATGATAAAGGAAATAACAAGGGAAGAGAATACATCATCTCACCACCAGCCGACCGATAACTCGCCCCCCCCAGCCCGACCAAGCTCTGACCGATACCTCCTCCAACCCTGCAGTCTCCCAGCCCTTCCGGCTAACTCCCAGTTACATCCCGGGCATGACGTGCTGTGGTATGGAATACCTCTTTGGTCAGTTTGGGTCAGGTGGCCTGTCTCTGCTTCCTCCTGGCTTCCCCTCCTCCCTGGCAGAGCATGAGGCTCACAAAGTCCTTGGCCAAACCAAAACATCGCTTGTTATCAGCTCTGTTCCCGAGCTGAAAGTCAAAACATTGCACTGCACCAGCTACCAAGAAGGGAAAAAATGACTGCTACTGCTGAACCCAGGACATGGTGGCAAGATAAGATTCAGGTAGAGAAACGATTGCAAAGTTCATTTAGGAGCAGACTGGCTTCTGGAGTGGCTGGGAGAATAATTGCACCATAACCAACAGAGAGCAGGGCTTCAGAAAACCCTTTGTAAAATAACCTTTTTTATGTGCAGCCTCAGAGAAAGGATGTCCGCTACCTTGGCTAGTGCTGAACAGGTTCATCATGAAAACTGAGAGGAGGCAACTGTACCCACTGTCAGGGTGACTTTCCCCAGTCCTCTTAAAAGAAGCCTGGCAAAGTGGCTCTGGAAAAGATTCCATGGTAAAAGGGAAAGATATAGGAGATGCAGATGTTTGAATTAGTCTTGCTGTTTGGAGGTCTCGTACGAGAAGACATGAAGAAGCCTAATCATAAACCAGAATTCATCAGCCTAAAGGCCTCCTCATCTCTATTTGTCTTTATGGTTCCCAAAACTACATTCTGATGTAGGTTACCATGCAATGGAAACCTACCTCCCTTTCTTTTACACAGACACAAACACACTAGAAATGGATATTTTTCCACATGCCCTGCAGATTGGCTTTAACATATCTCACAGTGTTGTTCTGCAAGACATGCAATGCTGTGGAAATACTAGTGCTAGAATGCATGCAGTGCCTGCGTACCATGTAAGCCATCACTGCCTTCTCTTACATATCATGCTGTGGTTAATATCCAGTAACTGTCCCACATTGCTGTCTAAAGCCAGCCAAATATGAAACAAAGAACCAAAAGGAGAGATATGCACATTTAATTCACTGAGCAGTTTTTGCTGACTTCAACATGAAGAATCATGGGAGTGAATAACCTGCAGTGTTCACTTAGGAAGCACTGATATTTGCATACAAAAAAAAAAAAGAAAAAGAAAACCTAAAAAGTTTTTAGATTCTTAGGAGAGGAGAAATCCTGGAAAGGTTTGGAAGCTACAATTAGAAAGCCGGAATCCAGTGTATCTTAGAAACACGTGCAGGCAAAAATTAGGGTGTTGTTATAGAGTAGTCTTAACAGGGTCTGGAGCAGAGGAGACCAACTTATTGCAAACTCTGGGAAATATATTGCCTAAGGCAAAAATAAGCATTGTAAATATAATCAGTCTCTTGTAAGTTAATCAGACATTATTATAACTGACACATGATCATTTTCCGCATAACACGCGTCAAGCATATTGGCCTGTCTACATTCGACACACTACTATGTTCAGCAAAGCCAGCAGGAAAGTAAAGACTTAATGTGTTTTGACCAAGTGTCTTTCACCAAGTAGGGACAAACTCATCACTGGTGCAAGGAAGAGCAGCATGTGGATTTCATTCACAGATGTCACCATCATATGTGCAAACTGTGAAATCAAAAGAAACAGAGACTCAGGGGAGATAAAAAAGTAGGTCTTTACCATCCAATACATATTAATGATTTCCTCTTAAAATTGAATATAAGTAATGCATTGTAATCTCACTATACAAAGAGTAAATGGTACGTTAGCACAGGCATGTAACAGTCCTTGAAGATAACTCTTACGGATTTAAAACAGTGTCAGATTGTAGAAAAGGAAGAAGCAGGTTGTCTGGGGGAAAAAATAAAGAAAGGATCTGCTAGAGGGAAAATTGCAGAATGACCAAATTAAAATAATTTTTCAGTCAGTGAAACAGGCTCATTTTAATTGTTGCAGAGCTGTGGTACCATCTCTTTCCCTGACAGCTTTGGGGATCATGAGTTACCACACCTGAAATATACCACAAGTGAATCAGAAATCATACTAAAAAGCAGCTTTTGGTGGGGCACTCAGGGTGTTGGGTATTGTCTACATTATCAATACAGCAACATGTGAAAATGTTGCCTAATACCATGAAACATAAGGCAGAAGAAGTGCTCTCAGTGTGAGAAGGAGTTAAGAGTAGTCTGGACAAACTAATCGCATCAGCTCAGCTAAGTATTTTTTTCAGTTCATCCTTGTAGCCACTGGTTTGTCTGGATGTGATCAGAGTTCACTTACAGAAGTTGCCAGAATCAGTTTTACAACAGCCCTGGGCACACAAGTGGTAGATAACATAAGTATTTTATATCTCTGATTCATCTGACAAGGTGTTTTATTTCATTGGCAGTCAAATCATTTAAGTTTCATGTCTGTTACCCTGGAATTTTGTCTATTAGGTTGCCCTTTGCATGGTACTGGCTGGCCTAGGAAATTCTATATACTGAGGTTGCCTTTTCAGTTACTCTTATCTGTGCTTCAGCTATAAGAGTTGACCAGAAAAAGGGGAAACAAAAATGAACCTCTCATAACACACTGAATTCCTTTGGCAATGTCTGGCATTTCTGTCCTGAGAAATGTAAAGCAATTCGACAAAAACGGTTGTGTTACAGGTCAGCTATCTAGTAATCACTAGCTTTGTCCATGTTTTTACTTCATGCAGGTAGGGAGATGTGGAGACACTGAAGGCTAGGCTGGACAGACCCTTGGGCAACATGGTCTAGGGTGAGGCATCCCTGCCCATAGCATGGGGTTTGGAACTGGATGATCTTAAGGTCCTTTCCAGCCGAAACCATTCTATGATTCTATGATTAAGACCTTCCTAGAAATGAGCATGAGGAGGAGCAAGGCGGAAGCATAGGCAGGAGAGGCTGTGCCACTGAAGCTGAGAGTAGACATTTTAACTGTAGTCCTGTCTTCGTCAGTGTCTACTATGCGAACTTGAGGAAATCATCTGAGCTCCTTTTAACTGTATGGGGATTGGAAATACCTGCAGCCCCTTTGTAAAGCATTTTGGAACCTCTGCAAAAAAAGAAAAAATGCTGTGCATCAAAACACACTTAATAACACTTACTCTTCCTTATTCAGAGCACATCTCCAAATACCCGTGTGAGACTTGCCGTTAGTTTATTGCAAAGAGTTGTACCAAGCTGGTTTAATTTTATTGTCTCCTTTTGTCTGTTTTCTTTCTTTCTCTTTCTTGTTGGTAATGAGCAGGTGAGAAACCCCACCAATGCAGCATCTGTTGGCGCTCCTTCTCTTTAAAGGATTACCTAATCAAACACATGGTGACGCACACTGGCGTGAGGGCGTACCAGTGCAGTATCTGCAACAAGCGCTTCACCCAGAAGAGCTCCCTTAATGTGCACATGCGCCTCCACCGCGGGGAGAAGTCCTACGAGTGCTACATCTGCAAGAAGAAGTTCTCCCACAAGACCCTGCTGGAGAGGCATGTGGCTCTGCACAGTGCCACCAACGGCACGCCTGGAGCCACCGGAACCGGCACAAGGGCTGTCCCTGCCGGGGTGGTGGCCTGCACGGAGGGGACCACGTATGTCTGCTCTGTCTGTCCAGCTAAGTTTGACCAAATCGAGCATTTCAACGACCACATGAGGATGCATGTGTCAGATGGATAAGTAGAATCTCTCTCTCTCTCTTTGTTATGAACAAAAAATAGTAGAAACAACAACAAAAAGCTATGGCACTAGAATTTAAGAAATTATTTTTGTTTCATTTTTACCTTTATTTTCCTCTTTTTTTTTTGGGGGGGGGGGGGATGGGGTTCGTTTCAATTTGTTGTTTTTTGTACTACATGAAGAACTGTTTTTTGCCTGCTGGTACATTACATTTCCGGAGGCTGGGAGAGTAATAATTTTCCCAACCTCCCTTGGATGGTGGCCTTAAGGCCAGGTAGTGCTTCATGAGCTCCACTGGTTGGATCTCTAGCTACTGGCCTCTAAATACAACCCTTCTTTACTACAAAAAAACAAACAAACAAACAAAAAAAAACCACAAAAAAATCAAAAAACAGACAGAAAAATAAAAAAAAAATCTTTTTTCTCACTTGTGAAGAGCACTACAAAAAAAAAAAGAAACAAAACAAATATATTACAAATCTACAAGGCCTACTGTCGTTATAAGTACACCGCTCGCAGTGTTTCAATGGACATAATTCACAATGCTGACCGCTTTTGGACTTCACAGTATCCAGTTAGAACTGTGGAATATTTTGCTTCTGGTTGAGCAGCAACCAGAGGAAACAAGGCCCTGCTGGTTTCCACCACGTGTCTGCTTTCTCACACACACGCATCCACAAACACACGAAAGGGCTGAGGGGAGTGCAAGGCAGTGTGGCTTGGATAGAGTCGAGTCTCTACAGGGTGAGGAAAAAGAATCAGAGGTTCCTCACCACGATTCTGCTCCATCCCATGCTGTCTGGCGCACCCTCCCCGCTGCTTTTTCCATACCACCACCACCACCACCTTATAGCAGAAACCAAGAAGATTCAGACAACGAGCAACGGTGGCTTTTATGTAATTTATTCAGTGTCTTCGCTGAGCCCAGGGCCTCAGCACAATCAAGAGGGACTTTCACAGAAGGCAAAGAGAAACACAGAGGAAAATCAAAGATATCAGAGGTTGCAACCTATGGATCTAGGTACAAGAGAAGGGTTAGTTCCCACAATCTTTGCAAAAAAACAAAAGTTGCATCAGGATTTATTCTTGTGGAAGAAAGAGGAATAGAGGGTGGGTGGGGAGGGGAATAATAATGAAAAAAAAAAAGAGTTCTTGGGACTTTTTTAATTCAAAATTTTATAGAGGGGCAAAAGTGACGTTTACCAGATAGAATGCTGATTTTTTTAATATATTTACAACAGTATTTGTGTAAAAAAAAAAGCAAAAAAAAGTGAGATTGTTAAAAGTAATTTTTCTTTGTTTTCTTTTTTTTTTGTTTTGCATACACTGCCACTAATATCTTCTCTTTTATTATATATATGAATCTATATATAAATATATATTTTATTTTAAATTGAGACTGTTAAGGTTAGCTAACCTGCTTCCAGATAGAAGGGGGGAGGGGAGATGATCTTGATTTTTATTTTAAAAAAAAGAGGAAGGTTGTTTCTTAATTTTAATTTTTTTTTTTCTAGTATTATTCTCTCTCTCTTTTCTAATGGAATCAAGAATTACCTGGGTCGATGAGGGGCTCTGTGAAGTCATCTGTGAGATTATCTATTAGAGTTTGTGCATCCTGCAGTATCATTTGAACTGCTACTTTGTTTTTGAATCACCTGGTTCTCTTTTTAGCTCTTACCAAGGTTCTGTTGTTTCTTCCTTTGGTTCCATCTCAGAATTTATTTCTGCTGAAGGGCAGTTCCTGTTGAGAAAGAGATTTTTCTAGCAATGTTCCTATGTTTTTAGGGATGGTAGAATCTGTAGCCTTTTCTTTCTTCTTCTTTGAAAAAGTAATGAAAGTTTTGAAGGTGTGTAATAACTAGGAATTCCCTTCTTTTTGGTCACTGGACAAGAATTAATCTGCTGTATTGTTTTCTCATCCCTGCCTTGCTCGCTAAAGAGCTTCCATATTTGTGTGGGAATCTGATCCTCCCCCTGGTAATTTGTGCTGATGCCAAAATAACTTCAAATGTTACCATTGCAAATAATCTCCCCTTCTTCATTTGCAAAAACATATAACTGAAGGGCCACATCCCACATTCTCTGCATATGCAAAGCTATGCAAGGAATGTAGGATCAGTGTGAAAGATTGATTCTTGATCTGCATATTTATGTTCATGTTTTGTATTTTGTTTTATTGTATTTGGGCTGGTGTTCTCCCTGGTCGTCTTCTGTGTATCTGTGTAAGAATTTTTCCCCCAAAGCCAACTCCCAAAGTATGTGGGTCCTTAGTTCAGTTGGATCAGTGTCTGACACTATCTTTGTCTTTCTTGAAATCCATAGCTAGGACTTGCACCAGCTGCACTCTGGACTTTACATTTCAGGCAGAGAAGAAGCACCTAACAAAAATATGCAAAAAGAAAAAAAAGAATTGCTAGTTTAGCTCTTACTTGTGTCTATATTTAAATTAAGCGTTCTTAAGTTTACAAAACTTTTGCTTGTGAACACTGAGCATTTCACATGAGACATTCTTTTATGCTGGACAACTTTCTAACTCTTGACTTGATAGATTTTCACACACAACTTTGTGTGTTCTTTACACCTGCAGCTTCTGTATCAGATGTCTGTGATTCAACACAGGTAACCTCATGCTATGTTCTGCGCCTGTTCCATTACTGATTTATCTTGGGGAGACAAAAGCCCTGACAGGTGGTTTAGTGTTAGAATATTTCTGTACCCTGCAAGGTATTTTTTAGCAGATCCTTAATGAGGAAGCCCTGATTCTCAGCTGCAGTAGGCAGCATAGACTTTGAGGTGAGTGCCAGAGCAAATAAATGAGTCTCTTACATGGTAACATCTGTTTTTTGTTACCAGTTTGGGTAGTTCAAAGGGGCTGGAGAAGGAGCGCAAGTTAGTTAACAAATGTTGTTTTCATAACCACACTTGGTAAAAACAGTGCTGGCAGGTAAATGAAGAAGTGAAAAGACAAAGCCTAAGACACATAGATGGAGAACTGATGTCTGAGATGTAAAGACACACTAAATCTGTACAGAAAATAAAGGTTCTAGAGACAAGGGTGTAGAAGAAAATGGGGAAGGTGAACCTGTACAAAAGGATTGAAGGTCTTTCTCTGGGGAAGTGAGTTTTTTCCTGAGATCTTTATGATTGAAGAGTTTGGTGTTCTCCCATATAAGGAATTAATGAAGAATTTTACCCATCTTAAGTATCTGTAGCTGCTCATTTGTCATCTGAGGTCTGGGAAAAAGCTGTTTAATTCGCCATTGTTGAATCTGGTGAACTATAGTCAACATGTAGCATATTCTGGAATATGGTTCTGATACCAGAAGAGATATGCCAATACACAGGAAATAAGAATCAGGGTTTACATCCAACAAAATCCAAACACTACAGTGTTTAGAGAGAAAAATCCTGTCTAAATTTTAATTCTTCAATTTCCAACCTTCCCTAAATCAAAGAAGCATCATTTTTGAAATGCAGATTTATTATGGGGCCTAACAAATTTGAAGTGAATTAAATATCAGTTGTGAATAAATGAATGAAGGGGGCCAATTAAAAAAAAAATAAACTTATTAAATTAAAGCAAAAGGCATATTAGATTGAATTCTAAATCACTTCTCAAAGAATGTAGGCCACGGTCTTCACAAATGGAAGCCTGAAATGTAAGCTGATTTTGTTGAACTTCCAGGCTCAAAAATTAGTGGCTTGATATTGTGAAATATGGAGCAGCTTGCAAAGTGACTGCGAATGTATCTGAAAGTGCTCATCAGATCACTTGTTTAAATGCCCTTCTGTGAACGTAGGAGCTCAAATGTAGATCCTTTATCTTTTGAAATGTGAAATTATTTTTAATAATGCTTCCTCCCATCTATAAATGTTTAAATATTTATTTACTACTTTGAAACTACAGTATCTGAATGTTACAGGTGTCTTCAAGCTTCATGTATTGCTACAATATTCCTTAGCAGAAAGAATACCTACTAGCAGTCACAGTGATCTACAGACTGGTGGTGTCAATGTTTGAACACATCCATGCTTGAAAGGCTTCCTTCAAAACACCTGGTAAAATGATACAGATGAGAAAGAGCAGACTGTAGCACACACCGTTGTGACGGAGCATGCAACATCCTGCATTCCTTGAGCCTGATTCTCACTTTCCCTAAAGCTCTCTTTATATTGCTTCTGCAATGGAAAAGGATATTAAGTAGAATGTAAATTCAAGCATACAAATCAAGACCTCTCTGCAAGGCCAAAGTGCAATAAGGTAAGCCTTAGAGTAGATGAGAGGTGAGTGCCTTCTCTTACTGCTGCTGAGGCTGAGGAAGTCAATTGAAAATGTAGGATTGTCCAGAGCAGATCTACCCTGTGGTCCACCTTGCCTAGTGTTCTGTCTCTGACATGTGGCCAGCTATAGATGATTTGGATGAAGATGAAGGACCCATGCAGGATAATTACAAAGTAATAATCCTAAGAGAGATTTGTTATAATTCCTCATTAGCTATATATCTGCTTATAACCTAAAGACATAATAATTCATGGCCTTAACTTTTTATCCCATATATATTGTGGCAGATGATTCTCATTATCCTTTAAAGATCTAGCTTACTAATTCCTAGGTGGCCGCAGTGCTATCCTCTGAAAGTGAGTTCCTCAGGTTAATTATGACATTGTTGAAATGATTCCTTTTCAGGTTAATTTTGTTGCTGTTCATCGAAACACCCTTGTTCTTGAATTATGTGAAATCATAAATCAGAGAACCAAAATTTAACTTCTCTTGCCCATCCTGCTAAAGTCTGCCTCTCTCTGGGAAATCTGAATCCACAAGGAATGCAGGACCACAACATCAGTGTCTGCTGGTCAGTAAGGAGAGAACAGCTAGCGAGTGTGTGTGTGTGCATGTCTGGGGTGCGTGCACTAGTGAGATTTTCCTACAGTGACCTCTTGCGGAGGACTTGCAAGTACAACTGGTAAACAGTGGGAACATATCAGTAGTGTAAACCAGACTAGAAATTGTAATTTGATATTTCAATCTGTCTCTCCTCTCACAAAACCCCTATTAATAGCCTCTCGTAAGGGAAATAGGTATAGACATTTTGCAGGAGCTGCTTTGGGGGCACTTTCTCAGCAATTGTCATGCTCCCAGTAGGCCCACTTCTGACCCATGCTGTTAGTTGTTTTCAAAAGCAGCTCATACCCACAGTAAGTACAATGGGAAGAATGGCATTTAACTGACTTTCTAAGAGAATGAGATTCCCCTTTGCTCTAAAATCAAAGAGGCCAAATGGTACCTATTTTTCTTAATTTCTTTTTTCATCCAAAGGAGAGTTGAGTAACTCTCTGAGTAATAACCCAGATACCATCAGCCCCCTCACTTCTTACCAACCCCAAACTGACTGATTTCAGTCGATTGTGAGCTACTAGATTATTGCTGGATCATTCACATGGTGGAGGAGCGCATCTCTTTACCGAGTATTATGCTAGCATGTCCTGCCTCTCTTTCTTAGTAATGAAAACAAATCCCACAGAGAGAAGGTACAAACATATTACTTGCCGGAGTGTTGAGTCCAATCCAAAATCAGAAGCACCCAAACCATTTGGAACACAAACAGACCTTCAGTATGCCTAAGACTCTGGAGCTGTGACCCTTCTGACAGTCTTACATGAAGGAAATCCTCCAACTCTCACTGCTGAAGATGCTTGCTACTCCAAAAGAAATATAATACCAAATTAGCACCTAGTGATCTGTCAAGGAAAACTGGACCTTGGTAATCCAGCCCTTTCAATTCAGCATCCAGCTCCTCTAAGCTATTGAAATAAGCCTGATAGAAATGAATCAGCAGGTAGTCTAATTGAAGCAGCATCTGATCAGCCTAAAGCAAATAGCTGCTTTTGACATTCCCTGATTTGTTTTCATGCTGGCTGTGAAAATTTGTGGAGGAGGTGTAATGTAATGAGAACTTGGCCCTGACAGGGTCTGAGCCTCGTCTGCTCCCAGGGGGCTTGTCACTTAGTAGGATCTGTCTCCTAAGTCATTACAACTCTGCTGAAGAAAGGCTCATGAGAGGAACAACAGATACTACATTAAATGTGAAGTCTTGAGTTTGTAAATGCAATGAAAACCTTTCCCAGCACTTGAGTGTCCTGCTGACAGAAACCAAAATCAGGTAGGAAGGCCTTGCAGAGGGGCAGATATTGGAAGTACCAAGTTTCTGCAGCATGTCCAGTAAGAGCCAAATGTGCAGGTGGCTTAATGCTACATTCATAGGAACTTGTTCCAGCCATGCCAAATCAATGTTCTTGCTTCTGCTCATCTTTTTATTTGACCTGCTAGAAGTAACAAGCTCTCAGCTAACTTCATTTAAAGCTGCTCAGCGATCCAGTTCATTTCAGCAGGAGCAAAGGATTCCACATATTTTGACAGGTGACTAACCTGGGAAATTTGGAATGAATTTTAGGTATTCTTCAAACTAACTCAGACAAAACAAAAAGGTAGGTTGTGCTTTCTTTGGTATAGAACAGAGAGATTTGATCCACAAGGGAGACACTGACGGAGAGACAACCTAAAAATAAGAATGCTTTACACTCTTAGACCTATTTTTGTGAAGCACAAGGGGGAATCTTTGTTTAGTATTTCTAAGAAAATATGTAAATGAGAAACAAGATGTGTTAGGTAATAGTGTAAATCCATCTAATTATTCCCAGTGCTGATAACTAATCAACTAGATTAGTGCATTTAGGAACAGACAAAATGTTACACATTCAATGTTTCTATTTCTGATCCCCCTCCACTATAGATCAGGAGTAACTAAGATGAAAACAGTAGTTATACAAATACAAAATTTACAGTGAAATAATTGTTTCCATGTGTATGTCTGCCAGTATCTGGACAAATACCCGTTCTGAATTAATGTTTATAATTAACAGGATGCTTAGATAATCTTGGTTTAAAATCTATGGTTTAGTGAGATAAATACAAAGTTAAATATTAATAGATATTTTGTCATTATATATTTAGCAATGGTGCTGCCTTCTTTTTGGATATTAGCCTCTGAGGTAGCACTTGATCCCCAGGCATTACAAAGGAGTCCAAGTGTAGGAGAAGCAGAGTTGAGTGAATAAAGTGAAAAAGTAAATTGGATCCATAATGTGCTTTAAATCGGTATTCATGTTGCAACTGATAACTTTAATCAAGAGCTTCTAGGTTTATGTTAAAATGCAAGGAGTCAAATATTCTAAACGTATTTCTAGCAAAGTCGCATCAGAAGAAGCATTAGTTGTGGGGTTTAAATGCCAGTTTCCCCAAGAGCGCTTCATTAAAAGCTTTTAAAATAATAAGAGGCCAACTGAAGATATGCAGAACTCTGCTACATTGACATGATATATGCTATCATGCTATCTTCATGCTATACATGATCACAGTTTTCACCACCAGAACTAAGTCTGCTTCACTAACCGACTTCTTTTCCCTGCGGTCTGTGAACTGAGATTTCTGTTCACAGCTACATAGGCCCAAGGAAAACTATTAATATTTCCCCTAGGAAAAGGAGTGTTAACACTGAGGTAAGCATACCAAGAAGGTCTTCCAGACACTCTGTTCACTGTATTTTAAATCCCTGATTTAAACATTTGTCCTCAACTATTTTTCAAAAAGTGAAGACCAGTAAGATATTTCTTTGGGAAGCAAATACACTACAGCCTTGAATACACTACAGCCTTGAATACACTACAGCCTCATATACAATCGCTGCCTTAAAACAAATGTGTCTGAGGAGTATGGAGTGTACTTGCGTTTTGTATCTATAGCAGAGTTTTGCCTAAAACATTCCCTTCGTACAAAGTGTGTTATACTTTCCTGTTTAAGGGTAGAGAACAGGTAAAGAAGTATTAGTGAGGCACAGTGGGCTCTTCATATTGGATGGTGCTTCTCAGCTGCTTTTACCTTCAGTCACAGCTCCAGTTTTGGTTCTTTTCCAAAGCGATCTCCTTTTGATTGGGTTGGTTGGCACCAGCTCTCTGTAAAATACTGGAGGGTTAATCCTCTTCCTAAACCAAATAATACGGGGGTAAGGCTGTGTGATTTGGCTACTGACTCCAGCCTCCTCCTCTTACGAATTCCACCAATACCAGTGGAATTTATAAGAGAGAAATCCAGTGACAAATTCTGTTCCTAATTTTTATCAGTGGAACCTGTATTGGCACTTTTGGGATTGTGTGCATGTCACTGGAGATAAATATAGGCACTTTGATTGGCTTGGCTGTGATTTCTTTTAAGAAAAAGGTATCCTAACAATATTCTTTTGCTGCAGCAAAGTCATTATACAAAGAAAAGACCCATCAATATCCCACCATGTGTAAAAACTTCCTTCTATCCAGTTCAGCCCATAGGGATGTTCTTGTTTCTATAACTCATGCAAACTTTATTAGCACTTGAGGCCTTTTTGTGCTGCAAAATTTCATGCACAGTCATGCAGCCGTACCCCAAGGATCCCTCGTAAATGCTCTGTGTCAGGTTAGGCTTAGGTATTACTGTAGCCCATATGCTTTCATAATGTCCCTACTGGGACTTTCCCTGCTGGAAAATCTGGTACCAGTGTAGCAAATCATTTCTTGCTTTAGGTATTTTTCAGGCCGAACTGCAGACTTCTACAGTGTGCACACTTCATATAGTTGACTTATTGCTGATTTGTTGCCAAGTTCACAGTCCTGTGACACTTGAGAAAAGAGCAGAGCTTGATGAGATGATTATTGTTGTGCTCAAGTGTCCAATTCTGCAGTGTCCTGTTCTTACAAAACAGGTATCTCTGAGATCTATATATTTAACTGGGCACCTTTTCTATTTCAACTTTGCTCCTTTTCTTTTTGCCACACAGATATTACCATGTTCTTTGTTGAGCCTTATAAAGTCTCCTAAAAGTTCAGCCCCCGTGTTGAATACATATTGTTTGACTAGAGAGGACCATCACATTCAGGAAGCGGGATTACATTCACCCAGCTTCCTTGAAATGCATCACAACTTTCTTCCTCTCACTTTTCCCACAAAGTCCTTTACTTTCATTTGTCACATAGTCTGTTGGTACTTATGGTATCTTTGAATAAGACCAAATTATATAGCCTCTGTGTGTGTGTGTGAATGCAAATGTATGTATGTATGTATGAGTATGCATGTGTATGTGTGCATGTGTAGGTAGGTAGCTGGCTATTTCTTTTTGGCTTTACAGACAGGTTGCTAATTGTGTGGACATTCATGGTTCAGGAAAGTCTTTAGATGAAGTAACTGTTACAACATTAACTGTGGAGCATTGGCATGAATCTATATGAATCTAATGAAAAATAACTATACTACTCATGCAGTATATATGCACACATATATTCATAAAACACATTCTGTCAGCCAAATGCTCTTAACTTGATGTTTGCCCAAATAGGATGTCTGCCCTCATTCAAAATGTGACATCCAGATTTGGTCCAGTATATTTTTGTGAGTACCCATTCTGAAGTCAAGGCTGCAGCATGCCTCTCAGAGCCTTGTGTGGTCTTTCAGCTACAAAATAAATGGAACAGTCCAACTCAGCAGGCTTCACTAGTAGAGACGGGCATCCATTCCAGCTCTGGAATGATAACTGTTGAGGCCAGTCATGTACTTCCATTGAATTTCAACACATTCACCTGACAAAGGGATAAAATCTAAACAAAATAATCTCACTTCTCTAATTGCTTTTTAAAAAGAATTGCAAAAATTCACCAAGTCTTTAAACAGTTAGAAGTGCAGTGTATTGATAAGCTCTAAAATACTCTAGATCTGGAGTCTCTAGTATCCAAACCACCATATCAAACAGCTCTTTCCCCACCTCACATACTCTAAAATACGTTGACTATGAATATCTTTACAAGTAATCTGAGTAATCCAAATGTAAAATCATTAATAATTACCATTTAACTTTCTCTCTCTCGGTCTTTGCCAAAATCTTTTCAGGAACATGGTTAGTGTGTCTGAAAAACTGATGGATTCTTAGGGGGAGGAGAAACTCATCAGTGAGGGTATTCAGTATGGAATCCATGAGAACTGCAGGGTTTCTAGAACTCACTTTGCACCCATTTAATTAGTGGGAAGAATAAGTACGTTCTGCTACAGCTGCCTATTTTGGTATTGCGTTGGCCCCAGAAGTAGCATTTTATTCTTCTAACTCTTTTGCCCAATTGGAGGGGTTCTCCTTGTCCCATAAAGGATAATTGGAGATTCAGGGGGGATTTTTTTCTTTCATTTACATTCATGCAAAGTTGAGTAAATGTTATTCCTCTTCTTAAATTGGTGGCATATCCCTTCCCCCTTTGAATAAGATGATGAACCCAACAATTTTGGCTGGTTGATTTTGGGGTGAGATTTTTATTTTGGTTTGGGGTTTTTCTTTGGTTCAATGTACATTGTCTCTCTATAGTCAAAATGTCTGTGACTGTAACGGTATGTATTTCTTTTACTGGAGAAAGTAGACTTTTTGGTTTTCGTTAACAGTACTAGTGACTTTGTGGAAAATGACAAGTTGCTATTTAGATCTGCTTAGTTAAGTACAGTACACTACAATACAGTATTTCTGAAAGCTAGAACATACAGTACACAATATATATAGCAATTCTATATCAATATATATACATAGTATAATCATTTAACTTTTGCATCTGCCTATGATCATAGAAAAATATTTTTTTCATATGTATCATTCACAACCCAATCAACTGCTGCAGCTATTTGAAGCATTTAACAGTAACTATTACAGCTCTTGTGTGCTTTTTCATATTATTGGCTTCTTTATTGTCTTTACAAGTTGGGTTTTTTTTCAGCTTTTTTAAATCTCTATGTAGCAAGACGTAGGAAAGTAAATTTTTTTAAGAAAAGGTAAAAAACAGTATTAGGCTCTACAAAAAGTTAGAGGTTGTTCCCTGCTACCCTTTCATATCAGAAGAACAATTAATCAAGACAATTAAGGTTTTCTGTTAGCTCTCTTCTAAGATACCCTGTTATTTCATTTGTAAAAGTGTATGTCAGACTTACCTCTTCCATTCCTAGCCTTGGAGGAAGATGCCACGAGTGGTCTTTTGCTCTTTCCAAGTTCTGTTTCTTTAAAGTTTGAAGGTTTCCTAAAATTATTCCCCACACGAACATGGGGTAGAATAAGTATTATTCTCTGTGCAGTTATGCTAAATGTGGCCAGTGATTTTGCCAGGAATTGGATTAAAAATACCTCCATCCACCACTATTAATATATTCCAATTGCATCTTTACTTATCCACTTGATCCCCACTTTTTCAAGTGAAAACAACCTCTTTTGAGTTTCAGTTCAAAAGTTTTCGAAGGTGAGTGTCGCCTTTACCATCTTCATGACTCATTGCTGTTGGTTCCGAATTTTGAGTCAGTCCCAGTAGATTTTAATTGTCACCACAGAGCTGCTGAAAAAAATGTCGCTAGAGTGGTGTCAACATGTAGATCCAAATAGCCCAGGGGAAGCAAATGGACACCCAAGTCCCTTCTCTGTTGTCATCTTGCAATAGCTGGGCCAGGCAACAAGGCTAGATCCAGACTTCATAGGAGTGCAAGATTGCAGGAGCATGGAAATTTGTTTGCTTTTCTAATTCAGATACATCTCAGCTGATGGTCATTGCTTTGGTTGATAACATATCAATCCTGAATGAAAATGTACAAAATCAAGTGGATAAGGGTTGTGGAGGAGGTACTCATTATATCTCATTTCTCCTGTGAAGACTGGAGGGAATGAGAGATTGTTCACATCAGTTACAAGCTGTGCTTTCACTGAGAATGAGGAAATCTCTGTCACTGCAAATCAGTAAACTTAAAAGTTCTTTTGGACTGGGAAGAGAGGGAAAGAGTTACCTGTGCTGCATCTTGGGATAATGAAATTAGAACTTCAAGCATAGGAATCATCAAGTGCTGGCTTTCCTTACAGACTCCTGTCATCTGCCATTTGCACTTACGTGGAGGCCACTGCCACATCCTTTTTCTTTCTACTTGCAGTTTAAAAGCTACAGTCTTCCAGCAGTGATTTCTAAGTCTGGCTTTTCTTTATTCTGTGTATACCCACTTGTAAGGGAAGGAGGACACTATCCTCTCAATACTCATTATGCAGGTAACAAAACTAGATTACCCTATTACATAAAAGATGTACTTTGTCCTATTAAGCCAAACCGGTGCCATTTCACAGATAAATTCCAGCTACTGCAACAGAGTGCTGATTCAGTGGTCCACATTTTCTGACCATGGTCTTTGCCTTTTCCTTCGATTGAATGCTGAATCGTACATATCTTCACAGAGAGTGTTCTCACTTCACTGAGAATACCTGATCTTTTAAATGGCTGCATACCCATTCCACGTTTCCCCTGCTAATCCTTTGTAAGGTTCAGTAATTCATTTAGGATAATTACTAGTTTAATGTGTTTCTTGATTTAACTTCTTTGCTGCCTTTTATTTTTTCCTAATGCTTTTTTAAACACCTCAGTTCATTTTGCATGTTATACAGTTTACAGTTTATATTTTTAGGCTAAGAAGTGGTTTTACAAACAGGATGGTACCAAACAGGTAGATTATCCACACTAGAGATTGTACTTTTAGAAAGCAGTGTGTACAGATACAATTGCCTAAAGGAAAGTGAAACTAACAAAATAATCAGCTGGTGAACACTATTTTAACATATCTTTTACATAAAACACAGTCAGTCATTTGTGAATCCAGAAATCTTGCTTATTTTTTTTGAACATATATTCTTTTTCGTTCTCTGAAGAAATACTAATCTTGAGAATTGTGATGTTCTAAGAAACTTGTTTCGTATGTTCGTATTTTCTGCTTTTCTAAGGAGAGAGAAAACAGAAGATGATACTGGCTTTACAGTTCATAGATTCTTGCATTGGAGGCTTTCCTTGACTGATACAAACATCAAGGGAAGGCTCTGGCCAAATATTAGCTTTATTCTAGTATATGATTTTCATTATTCATTTGTTTTCAATCTCCTCGTTGACCAAGTACACCTCCATGGCTAATGCAAGCTGTGGTCTCACTTTTCTGTGGTCGACAGCATTTACGTTCAGCTCCTATTTGCACTTCTTTTCTGTGTTAAACAGCTTTTGAGGAACACAACAGTTGAAGTAGGTAACACTGTCACCACGAGAGGGAGAACCTTGTGTGCTCTATGCTACTGTGCAGGGACAGAAAGGGATTTTAAAGCTTTTTGCTGCAAGGTTGAATGAAGAGAGCCCCCGCCTTGGGGGTGCTTGCACCAAAGACTGGGGGGGCCTCCCAGGAGAGAGGAATGCTTGAACTCCATACAAGGGACTTGCTCTTCACCCGTGCCACTTAGAGGAAAAAATGAATCTCCAGTATCTGCTGCTGCTCTTTGGTTAAATGTATGAATATTTTAAGAAAAATTACAGTTCCTATTTATTGGTGGAAGAGGCATCACTCATTTGTTGGAGTCAGAACCACTTGTTCATAAGTTCTTCAGCAAGTTACACTGTCTTTGGGTTGCCCTGTTTCCATTGTCCTAATGCCAGGATGTAGCTTGGAGTGCTGTGAAACTCATAGGGATCCTTTTAAATCTGGAATTCATTCTCAGTTTCATACGCACTGAACATTCAGACCCCTAAATCCTTGCTCCAAAGTTCAGTCAAAGAAATTCTTACCATGAAATGAAGCAGAAAATTGGTGGTTTCCCATGAACTCCATCCATAATGAGCTTTTGTTGTCAAACAGAAGATACATAAATAGGCTGCTCAGTTCAGGGAGGGGCATACTGCGTGACCTTTCTTGTCAGCATCAGTGAGGCCTATGCTTAATCCTGGAAACTGATTGGAGTGATACTCAGCAGGCCAAACTCTTCAGGCAGGACCCACATGCTCTTTTGTTGACTTCAGTATGTGTTCATTGACAGAAAAAGCATACTTAGTCCTGTAGGAAGCTGCAGTCCTAAAAGCTAGTTTCATATACCCCCTTGAAGATGCCACAGGACAGTTCCCATAATTTGCATGTTTCTGCCTGAAGTTTCTATTCTTCATAAAACTTACTCGAGATTTGATTTCACTCCACTGGGTATATGACGCCTGTGTTAAGGGATCTATGATTAAATAGTCTCTCCTTGCTGGGAGGCTTAATTCAAACGAACTGTACAGGGCAGGACAGCTGCTTCCCTTTTAACAAGGCATGGGACTTCTTTTGTCCAGAGTCATGAACAGGCTTGAGTCTTCCGTTCCACAAGTATGTAGCCTCTTTGGGTTTGATTGGTGATGGCGTGTTTATCTTAAATAGTGAGCCACAGTGTAGATATATGACACACAGCAATCACTTGTCTCTAATTTACACCTTTGCTGTGTCACTTTTCTGTCACCAGAACAATGTAAAAGCATTCAGGTATTTGGATATTTGGAGTTACTCGATTCTAGGTTTCAAACTGGTTTACCCAGAAGCGCTCTGGCCATACTGTTTTGTAATGGTGATCACATATTTGTGTGGGTGAAATAAAGATGTTTCTTTGTAATATCTGATTGTAGAACCCCAAATTCAGATTGTACATCAAGCCTTTCTGTGAATTTCTGTTTTAAAGTGCTGCTGCATTGGGTATGCAGGAGGATGGATGGGAACCCACATAGTTTAGTGTGAACTTACCAGTTCAGCAGACAGGTAGGGCACCCTCAAAGTACACACAGCAAGAAAATTCAGTGCTGATGGTTAGCTAGTTATACTGGTTAAAATGGTCTTTATAGGTTTTAGGGAAGAGCTAGCAAGCATTATCTGTTTTGTGACTTGTCTATGCTCTGGCACAGACACACAACTGTAGCTCAGTGCCCAGACTGGGTTTAGGTGCTGGCCCCTTGCTGTGGCTAGTAATTGCATTGTGCTCTCTTTATTTTTCATGGTAGGCTCATTGGTAATAAGCAGAGAAAGTCCTGGTATTTTTCTGATTTTGAGGTGGATATTCAGCATCCCTGCACCCGTGCTTAGATTCTTTCTCTTGGGATCTTTCCTTATTTCTGTGTGTGTGTAAAACGCTTTTTTGCACTAGGATGAAACGGCCTATCTGTGTGCTGGAGGCAAGGGCACAGCTTATTTGTATTTGCAAGGGAAAGAAAAGGGAGGAACCTGCTTTTCTATTATCATTTGGTTTAGCTGTTGGAATTTGCTTTTGTTCACATTCTGGGGTGGGCTGCCATCTTCAACAAGGGATGGGGAGTGAGAGAAGAAGCAGAAGGCATGAGGAAGCATGTGCCCGAGCCTAAGTGAAGCAGCATGCAATATTCCTCTATATACTGAGCAATTACAGTGAGGTGAGTATAGCAGCAGCAGTATTGCCCTAATGTGTTCCTTTTCCTCTACATTTCCCTTTCTTGCTTCTTCTTCCCTGTTGTGGCCTCTTACACTGTTTTAGTGGTTGCCCACACTCCTTTCTAGTAGTTATAAGGGTTAGATGGGGGTTCTTGTTGCTGTCCAAACTGAAATTAATCTCCAAACCAGTGAATACCCCAAAGTCTTTGTTGTGTTTTCCCATGTGATATCTTAATGAGTGGCAAGCCCTGGCAGATGTTGTATTTATTTTGTTCAAGAGATAGATAGGCTAGGGGAGGTATGGGCTGATTGGAATTTGGTAACCTGCTTGCCTTTGTTATTAGTGAGCTTTATTTTGTTTTTCTTATGTGTTTTCATTTTGAGGTACTTAAGAGCTTATATGCCTATCATTAAAATTCCTGCTTTTCCCACTGTTGCCCTAGAAGGGCCATGGAAAAAAAGCCTTTTATATAGTATATGTACCTGTGTATTTGCAGGATGGGGGGAGTTGTCCATGCATGTGAGTGTCTCGTGAGAGGGAGAAAACTAAAGTTAGCGTTGATCTGTCCATTTGTTTTAGAGTGGCTGCAGAGAGCTGCCACTTTGAAGAGCTGATTGCACTACAGAACTTTAGCTTGGGCACTGTTAAAATAAGGACTGTATACTGGGAACAGGGAAGCTTTTTAGGGTTTTTTTATCCACACTTACACATGCCCTTTGTAAGGTGTGCCCCTGCAAAGTTTGCGTCTGACAACTTTGTGTAAAACCACTACTGACCTTTTTGCTGTATCCATTTAGTTCTCCTTTCTTTCTGCAGCCCCCAAACAATGGCTTGTCTCCTTTCCAATCCCTGTCATTTGACTTGCTATGTTTTTGATAAATGTCCTATCTGCTACATCAAGTGGGAGGAAAGAAAATGAGGCATGTGAAAGTGTGGCTGGGAGACTGCAAATCCCCCTTTGTTTTGGGGCATTCATATACTTTTACTGGGAGCTGATTTCTTGGGGGCTGGGTGGGGTGGGGAGGGAGTTTGTGCTTTTTTGGTCTGGGTAAGGCTTTTTATTTTTGCACTAAGTATGACTGCACTGCACTGCATTGCACTACTGAAATGTATTTACATGTGGTGGGATTGGAAGGGGCCAATTAAGCAGGAAGGGAGAAGAGAAAGGGATAGGCACAGAAAACGGGATGTATTGTAAACCAGGTTGAAAGAGAACTTGGGTTACCTTTACTTTAAGCAACTAGTCAGACACTGAGATAGCTGTATGGGATAGCTTCTGTTAAATAAATAAATGAAGCAGTGTAACAGAAACATCACAGGTTTCAGGGTGCTACGGATCTTTTCCCCTTTTTTCCTAGAGTGTTCTTTGGGGCTGTGAAGAGTTAAGAGAACTGCTCAGCATGAAAACCAGTCAGTGTAAGGCTTCAACATAAAGATACCAATTCCTAGTTCAGATGTCAAAACTTGCATTGATAGGGTCTCTTCAGAGAGGTCCAACTGTAATTAGCATCCCTTCAGTATAAACATGATTTGTCAGCTCAAGAAGTGAAGGCAGAAAGCAGGCTTACCAAAGGGGAAGGTCACTGAAAAAAAAGCGCTTCTTTCCAAGGCTGTTATGGGAACAGTGCAATAAACAGTCATCCTGAACACTCAGTTAAAGGTGTTCCAGTCCAGCCTTTGGGGCAGAGGGAGCAGGAGGAACATTTGGACAAGGAAGATGATGTGAAGTTCAGTACAGTAAGGAATATTCTTGCTTAGGCAAAGATGCTGTCTGCCGTTTTAAAATCTTCAGTCTTATTTCTCTCATCAAGCAGATAATTAAGCATTATGAAGAGTTTCAGCTGGAGCCAGATGGAGCCTTAAGTTGGAAAGGATTTTTACAGTCAAGATGGATGTTGGCCTATGCCTATGACTTATGGTCATTGACTTTGTAGCAAGCATAATATGAGAAAAAACAGTAACAATGTGCAGCAAGATCCATCTCTGCTATAGCTCTTTGTGGTCTATAAACTCTCAAAAGTTTGTGTTGGATCTCTTCAGTAAGACTATAATTACAACTTCAGCCAGAAGGTAAAACAGGATCATGAAAAATGCTGTGCATAGCAACTGGGAGAATGTTAAATCATGAGTGCATTTGCTTTGGTCCAGCAGGGGAGGAACAGCCTGACTAATGCACACAGAGGTTTCATGGACAAAACAAGGGAGGTAGTCATCCAGCTGCTAAGGGAAGTCTAGAGTAATTCAATGGTCAGAAATCTATTCATGCCCTGAATTTCTCCTTTGACTTGAAGCAAAGACATTTTGGCCTCGTTAGTACTAAGGAATGGGTAGTACAGACCTTACACAGGGCTGCACAACGCAAAGCAGACTGCTGCTGGTCAGTCTGTTGGGCTGCCTCAAGAAAAATCAAGAACTAGAGAAGGAATAATGCACAAGAGTTAAGGTGGGAAGGAACAGGTCTGTCTGGAACCAGGAGAGACTTCAGAGTTAGGGATGTGTTTTTCTGGCAAGCTCTGAGACTTCTGCTCTTAGATTTCATCCCTAGTTTGAAAGGACTGGAAGAGAAGAATTGGAGCTATCCCCTGGTGTACTGTTAGATGAACTACTGAATGACTCTTCCCTTGAAAGCAAGGAGGACAGAAGAACATGCAGTCTCTTTCTGAGCCATCTGCAGGAATCCTGTAAGATGAAAACCACTGGAGGGTCATCTTCCAGTAATGAGGCAACGGATGCCCAACAAAAGCACAGTTCACTTGAGAGCCAGCATAATACAGTGGCAGGAGAGCACTTTTAATTTGTAAAATGGCATTTGCTTCTCTTAGAGTAGTGAGCACTACAGAGTCATGATATGGGAAGAAATGAAGTCTGTCTGCTGAAATTCACATTATGAGCCAATACTCCCCTTTTTTGTCTGGGTGTGTTTTTGTTTTGTTTTCTTGTTTAAGGCAGCTGCATATATTGCTACTGTCAGAGTAGATTTGCATTGTCAAAGAGGAGTAGTGGACTGCTCCAGAAAAAAAGTGAAGCTGAGGGTTTACTGAGCCTGCTGTGTCCAGAGTGCCTTTCCTGCTGTGAAAGAACTTGTGTAGTTTGAGCTGTTCTGGCTGACTGATTGCTGCATATTCCTCCCTTGTGGTATGACCTGATGGCAACCATATTTGGACAAGGAGAGGAACACTGCATGCTTGCAATGCTGTGATAAGATGCCATTTGCACTAGTTTTTTAAAAGTACTGCAACCTGAAGAAGTGGGCTTTGAGCCATGCTCCAAACCCAAGTTTGAATTCAGTCTGTTTAAACCTGATTCCAGCTGACTCAGTTTCAACAAAGCTGGTCTAGTACATGTAAACAGGAACTAAACCATTTTTTAAAAGCCAAATTCCAGCCTATGTTCCCACTCAGTTACAGTGTTTGACAGGACCAGACCTTGAGCGTGTGATTGTATAGTTCTAATGGCTTTTAAATAAGTTGTTCCTTTTCACATGGTCAGTTTGAAGCTAGTTTAACTGGAACTGCATTTAAATATATAGCACAAACTCATGGTTTTTTCAGCATGGTACTAAAGCCCCACGTAGACAGTGCTTGATTGAGAAACCAAGGATAACTTGAGGTTTATTTTAAGAAGCCAAAACATATGTTGCTGACCAGAGATGCCGCATAATTTAATGCCCTATTTTTTTCTCCAGATGGAGAAACACTAACTTCTATGATTCTCCTCCATTTGTCATCCTGCTTCATTTTTGCACCTTTTCTCTTGAATGAAAATCACTTTGGCCAGTGGGCTAGATCCAAAACAGAACTTCCCTGTACTGTTTGATTGTGTGGTTTCTACATGTTCCTTTCCTTGACATTGACAGGCACTACTGAGGATCAGCTTGAGTTTTCGCTGGGACTATGTGGCATAGTTACGGTTCAATAAGATGCGAGTGATATTTTCAACATTATGGTAATTTTAAAGCTTACCCTTGAGGAAAATGTTACGTTTCAAAAGTTCCACAGAAAAAAGAAAATGCCAGGAATCACGATGGAGCTTCAGTCACAGTGCTATAGCCTAGTTTGTAGGGAACACATTTTTGGTGGCTGGTGATGCTGACATTTACAAAAGCAATTCAGAAGTAATAGAGAGCATATGCTTTATCATCCCTACTTAACTAAGAGAATTTATACTAACAGGAAGTATTTTACTTTTTCCCTAATGGAAGAGGCTAAAAGATCTATCACATCACCTTAATCTGAATTTGCTTCAAGACTGCTCCCAAACAGTGTGCCAGCCAAATGACCTCCCTCATTGATTGTAGTATCACAGTGGCTGGTGATTTGTCACATCACCCAAGGTGACCAAGAGATAGCCTCAGCTAGAAGCCTTTTACCTTTCCTTTTCCTTTTGGTTTTCCATCAAACCAGGAGTGCAGTTAGTGGTGAGTAGATGGCAGGTCAGCTGTTGCTCCAGATGGCAAGAATGGCAGAGCCACATGGCAGCTGAGCTACTGTTGTCCTCAAGGACACCAGTAAACGCAGAAGACCAGGCTCTCGTTGCTGGTGTAGTTGTAAACCTACAGCTTCTGCTGCTCGCCCCTCCAAACTTGTTTCAGTCAACTATGCTGTTGGCCTCGAATATGCTTTGTGTGTGAAAAAATGAATGCAGTTGTTCTGTTGTCTGTCCTCTTTCTTCTGCATCATGGATGTGGCGCCAACTTAATCACACAACAAGCTTGAGTTTTATTTCGCTGTTGTTGTTAAATGTAATTCTACTGTAGACCAAAAAATACAAAAAGGAGTAAAAATCAGTTTCAAGACATCAAAAAACCAGTGAGTGAAAGGTGAAAAATGTAGGAAGTGAAGGTGTGAGAGGAGCAGTGGTTAACTGTGTTAAGTTAGAAATCTCAGAATAGCCTTACCTATTTCTTAACCAATGCTTACCAATCATCTGGTAGTGGGGTTAGATAGCTTTCTTGGCTCGTTCGTACTTGTATCCCAATATATATGTATATTTTATTTTTGTTTCTTTGGTATTGCTGTTGCACATCACGTTGTCTTTTATAATGCCTGATTTTTATTGTATTGTACTTTATCAGTCTGTTTTGGTTCTGTTTTCCTTTTGAAGGATGGGAAAAGTAACGTTTCCTTTTTGGTTTGAATTTTTGAGAAAAAAAAAATGCACTGGAAGTAAACACAAACACATTTTGCCATTTGAAAAAAATAAATAAATAAAGGAAAACACACAGCCACACAGTGGAAAAGGCTAAGAAAAAGCTCCCCTCTTCTTCCTTATTATGGAAGCATCCTCTAAAAGATATGCTAGAAAGAAAACAATCTCAAACAAAAGAAGAGAGAAGCCTCTTTGATCCTGGCTCTGCAATCTGAAGTATTCTAGCACAGTGTTTTGCAGGGTTGGGCTCCTAAGTGGCCAACAGTCATGAAATCCAGAACCACATGTGGCAAATTCATTCCTGATGCAAGCAGATGTAATTGCAATGAAGTCAAAGGAGGTACACAGAGGATGGATTTAGCCACATGTATGCGAGATACAGCCGTCTTCCCTGTAGTACCTAAGTCCCCACTGCTAGATCTTATTGCTGTCAAAACTGTTGGTCTTCTGGCTGTGTTAATCGCATAATGCCCCTTGAACGTTGTTCAGGGTAGGCAAAACACTTTCCCACCGAATAAATCAGTTCTGGATGCACCTTGGTGTGACACTTTTTGTCTAGCAGCTTTCAGCTGTCACCCGCTCACTCCCAGCTGTGAACTGATACGATCTAACTCTGGTTGAAGACCCTGCCTTTGCCAGAAAAAATGGACTTGACTATTAAGCATAGTAAAACTTCTGCGTATTTAACTACTATGATCCAGAAATGGCCCTTGCACTTTTAAGGCATATGGAAACATCCTCTCTGTCTTTCAAAATGGCAACAGTTCTTTCACAACTAAAATACTACATGTGCACAAATGTGCACGCACGCGTATGTGGTCCTTGGGCTCATCGCCCCAAAACAAATCCTTCCTGGATCTTTCTGTGCCCGGCAGTGTCCTGTCTCCATAGTGCCTGGTCATTTGAGTACAGCGGGGCAGAGACTCATGTAGAGATAAATGCAAAGAGCATACATTTTAAAAGGCAGATGATTTTCCTGTTATGCCAGCATCTTTGAATCCCTATATCAGCTGATGGTTTTTCCTAGCCTGATGGCTTTCAATCAGTTGTTGAAACATTGGCTTTCTCTGTTTTGTTTTCTAAAGGAGGGAATGTGGGGTGGGGGAGGATAATGAGGTGTTGTTTGTAACTTCACAGTCCTGATAGTTGGTTTTATCTTCCATATTTTATGCAAAAACAGACATTATAAGTCAAGAAATAATTGTGCCCTCGGTTGAAAGTTAAGTGTTCAGGAAAGGAAGAAAAAAAAACCCTAAAAGGTTGGCATTTTTCTACATTTTTGTGAAGACTCTTTTGGAAAGGAAGGGTACATATTTTTGTTGTGTAGTATTTTCTATTTTTGAATGCATTTTCTTGGTACAAGACTGTTTTGTGGAATTTTTTTTTTTCTTTTTTTGGTGAACACATTATTTAAAAAAAAAAAAAGAAAAGAAAGAAAAAAAAACTAATTGAAAAGTTTGCCCTTAAGGATATGCTGCAGTTTTGAGGTTTAAAATAAATACACATTCAAGGCGCGTGTTAAAAGTCGGGGGATTGTATTGTTGGGAGTTTTTTTGTAATTGTTACAAGAAGAAGTTTGTAGCCACTGCTGTTTATTTTGTTTCAGATGAGTAAGTAAAGGGATTGTTCTTGTGTTATTCTTTTTTTAAAAAAAAATACAAAAAAAAAGTTATTTATGAAATGTCACAAACACTGGACTGTGAATTTGTGTGGAAACATTTTACCACCCTGTGTCTTCACAGAGCTGTTGGTGATCCTCCTTCTCATTACTCTGCCTTATGATTTCCTGAGCAAGTTGGGGCGAATATTGGGAGGGTGGCAGAGAAACTAAATGCATTTTTGAGGCAGAGACTCAAGGGGAAAATGCAAAGCAGTCTTTTGGAATCCCAAACCCAGGCCATTGGCTCTACTTCTCCTGTCATCAACCACAGGAATGAGAAAGGCTTACAGTCACTGGCAGAGAAGGAAAACTCGTGGTACCTAGATGTGGCAGTGTGCAAGGGGTTAAGTGACTGAGAGCCGTGGTGCTCATAACGACCTCTGTAAATGACATCCCAGGTTCTCAGTCAACAGCTCCCTTTGCTTGCCCTCATCCAGCCAGTGACTCTTGTGACCAACTCACCAACCCAACTGAAACCGTGAGGATGGTTTACATTTTCAGTCTCTAATTGAGCCTTTCTGGCACTCCGGCAGTGGGACTAACCAGTGGGGAGCACTATTCAGTTTGATTTAAGGAGAAGTAGAGGCTGAGGGCAACAAAAGGTGTGCTGTGTCTCAATTTTTTACGAGCAAGCTTAAAAAGACTAAAGCAGTGCTCCAGGCACTCATGGGACCAGAGAAAAGGGAAGAAGGAAGACACCAACAGCCATAACAAAAAACTGGAGATATGTAACTGGGCTATATTTGAAACCAACCAGACTCTTTTCCTTCCTGGACAATAATGCAGCCAAATCTTGAGACTGTCAAGCAGACAGAAAGCTGAATGTGGCCTTCATTTCTCCTGCCTTTCCTTTTTTATTCTTCCTTTGCCCTGAGATTTTTTCTCAGTGAGCACCTGCTCCACTGAGCACTTTTCTGCCCTCCACCTAAACTGTCCTTGCTTTCAAAATGTGGGTTCAGTCAGGACTGAGTAAAATCATGTGCCTTCTTTTTCCCTTTTGTAATTATGCCAACCTCCTCCCCTTCCCCAACTTACACGTGAGAGACGCAGGAGGAGGCTCTTTAGAAGTGCTACTTGTCTATTGGTGTCCAGCAAAGCATTAAGGTGGTGGTGAGAGGAAGGGGATCAGAGAGATGCTATTAGCTCCTTTCCCCTTCCACACGTAGCAGGTCTTCCCAAGGAGACACCCTCCACCACCACCTCCTCAGATGCTCCTCTCCTGCAGAGTAGTCATAGTGGGCATGGGGTGGCTTTTCTCTCCCATTGCTATCCTAGATGAGTGAAGCACTCAATTTTAGTTCATGCCATTTGCAGGCAGTTACATTGACAAGACAAATGCAGTTTGTGGCCTTATCAAGATGACTTTTAAACCACTAAATGTTAAAAAAAAGGCAACTTATTTCCCACCCAAGGTTTGTGTCATTTCTGAAAACACAGTCCACAGCAGTTTAATCCTTTAATCTCAGTCCATTCTACTGATGGTGGCTAAACTGACTAGCCTAGAGCTTAAGTGCTAGGCTGCCTGGTCTCACACTTTCTTTAACCCCTACTGTCTGCTTGCTTTTCTTTCTTTCTACTATATTCTCTGCTTTATGAGGCAGCCCTAGCCTTTGGTGAAGGGTGAGGAGCCAGTGGGATCCTGGCTCAGAGGAGGTAGTTGATTGATAGACTCTGTTGAGCCTTTTAGCAGGAGAAGGATATACCAGCTGCCACAGCAAATGCATATTATGATGGGCTGACTGCAGTATTTTAGGGTCAATTAACCTCACCCAGTTACTGGAACAGGGCTTGTTCCCAGGTCAAAACCACGGGGAGAGTAAAGAATGCATTGGCACAACAGAAAAGCGGCTTGCAATTCACAGCCACTCGTGGGCAAAGACAGGGACACGACTGCCACCCGGCTTCCCTGCAGATATGCCCACTGCACAGTCATTGTCCCTGTCTCCGTGGAGGAGCCAGCTGAGCTCTATAGGCTTTTCTGGATGTAAAAATCAGCATGAAGTAGCCCGTGCGTAGTGTCCATCTGCCAGGTGAGCACGAAGGTGTGTGCTGTTCCTCTGCACAGCAGGAAGCTCCATGGAGGCTTTCTGGGAACTTACCTTTTCAGAAACCCACCTGAAACACCTGTAGCACCCATGTGATGAGAATGAAAAAAATCTCTCAATCACTTCCATAAATGATCCAGTAAATTAAAATGGGGGGGCTTAAATTTTTTCCTTTAGGCTGGGCTCTAGAGCCAGGAAGGAACAGCAGGGGAATGGTGTAGTTTTTCCTGTCCCAGTTAACAGTCTGCGTGTGTGCATGTATATACAAGAGAAGGGGTATATTTCTGCCCATCTTTGGTGCTGATGGACTTACTTACTTAAAGACATTTGTCCAAGGCTTACTTTTGACACACACAGAGAACATAAGAATAAGCTCTAGCACATGCAGTATTTCCCCCACAAAAAGGGAAGGAGGGAGGGGAGAGCAGTGTGGGTAGTTGGGATTGTTAAGGTTGGATTACTTTGCATCTTTTGTAAAACTGTAACTTCAGCAGTGCCTTATTCCTAATAGATGCTGGCACTTGGGACACACATGATGAAAGACAGAACTAGGGAGAGTCAGACATGTACATCCTTAAGACAGAGGTCATTAATCGTTGTAAAGGAAGCTGTATTGGGAATGACACAGCTATATCAGAATTGAAAATAGTTCAAATGTTCAACCTCTAAAGCAATTTCCCTTCCACCACCTCCTGCCTTCCCTCCTTGCCAATGGTGCTGCCCAAGAATAGCTGCCTACACTGAGGCCTGTCACTGCCCCATTTGCTTTTGGCGTTGTCAAGTCCAAGGAGTTTAGCATAGTCAAGCTTTCCACTGCTATCGTGTTTTTCCATGGGGTATGTGAATGCCAGTTATTTTGCTTTAAATGCACTTTAAATAAAAAATCAAAATCAAAGCTCCAGACTGTTTCAAATACATAGGGGAAGACAGTGCATATGTGTTTGAACCCAGTTCACTTTATCTCCAGTTCTAATCTACTCCATGCAGTGTGTATGTATAGAACAATGTGTATGCATACAAACACACACACATCAACCTTAAATATCAGCAGACTAACCTTTCTCCTTAAGCTCATGAAACCAGATGCTACACAAACACAGCAGCAGCAGAGGAATTACGGTTGGGCTCTTGAAACAGATCACAAAAAATAAAAACAACTACTTGGTCCTTTCTGTACATTCAATAATTACAGAAGGAATTGGGTTGTCACCAGAATAAAAAGGAACGGTGCTAACTGAATGAATGGGCAAAAAAAAAAAAAAAAAAAAAGACAAAAACAAAAACAAAAACTCAGCCCAATAATGCAGTTTGACTTCTAGTCTCACATTGGGTTGGTTTGTTACATTTTTTTTGTTGTTGTTTTATATGAAAAAGAAAATACGTGCATCTAAACTGATCCATCACAACACCACCACCAATGGCAAAAAGAAGCCAACAAAAAATGCATCCTGCCCTGAGGAAGCTCTTGTTTCTGGAGGATGTCAGAAGTCTCAAAACTCTCGGCCTTGCTCTCACGTACCACATGCTCAATCAGTCCTTTTTTTTAAATGTCTGAAACTGAAAAAAAACAGAAAAAAAAAATAAAAAAAAAAAACTTTTTGAAGCACCTTATGTGGCTTCCCATTCCAGGAGTGGGAGCCACCTTTTTTTCTTTGAGCACCTTACTGATGTGTTAATGCTATCTGCTGTCTTTTTGTTACTGGTGGGCCGAGTGGCTGGCTGTTAGCACGGACACGCATGCGTGATGGGGAGGCCAGGCACACGTACGCGGCCTTTCTGCAACGCGCGCGCCTGAGTGTCCAGCCACGGTCCCATTCCTTGTGGCTTGAACCCAGATGAACATTTCTTGGTCAGTCTTTGTGGCATGGAGGGGAAGCTAAATGATGGATTGGAGAGCATGCACAAGTGTGTGCAGATGTAAAAAACACCCAAATGGAACATCTTCTTCTTGGGGACAAAAACTCCCAACAGTCATTTGATGCTGAGTGAATGGGAAACTGCACCCGGGCCTAAATCCTGGGGTCTTTATGCAAGCAACCAACAGTTACGACCTCAGGGGCTGTCTTGCCAGCACAAAGACTTCAGGATTTGACCCCAGAGTGGCAGAGATACTCCACAGGAGACAGGGCTCTGCCGGTACCAATGCGTGTTGCTGTGGTCCTAAGTGTCGTCAGGCGCCCTCCCATCCGCGCACACACACACCCCCCTGCTGTACAGGCATCTCTTGAGAAACACAGTTTGTGACGATGTGAAGAGCAGGTCAAAAGTTTTGAGGGGTTAAGTAAGTTCCTTTTTTTTCTCTCATTATACTCTGTAAATGGTATGTCAGTTATGAAAAAAACCAACAAGCAAATAGAAAAATTGATTAAAAAAAGAAAATAAAAATTACCTTGCATACGCCTTTTCTATCAAGTGCTTTAAAATATAGAATAAATACACACATCCTGCCAGTTTTTTCTTACAGTGAGAGTATCCTTACCTGCCATTTAATATTAGCCTCGTATTTTTCTCACGTATATTTACCTGTGACTTGTATTTGTTATTTAAAACAGGAAAAAAAACAAAAAAAATCCTAAAAAAAAAAGAAAACAAACAAAAAAAAGAAAATTAACTGTAGCGCTTCATTATACTATATTATTATTATTATTGTGACATTTTGGAATACTGTGAAGTTTTATCTCTTGCATATACTTTATACGGAAGTATTACGCCTTAAAGAAAAAAAATACGGAAATAAATTTTACAAGGTTTCTGTTTTGTGTGGAAGAGTAATTGATGTTGCTAAGAATGATGTTTGTTTTTCTTGTTTTTTTGGTTTCTTTTTTTCTTTTTTTTTTTTTTAATGTTACCAGCACTTTTTTTGTAAGTTTCACTTTCTGAGGTATTGTACAAGTTCACACTGTTTGTGAAGTTTGAATATGAAGGAATAATTAAAAAAGAAAAAAAAAGAGAAAAAAAAGACAAAAAGAACGTGGCGGGTGTCTTTGTGCGTTACTTTGTCTCCTGGAGGATGTGGGAGGGAGGTGGCCCCAGGGTCCCCTCTTAGAGCTGGTGCAGCGTGGTGTGAGGCCCTGCTGCCAGAGCAGAACCTTTATCCTGTTGGGATTATCAACCAGTTTCTATACTGGGCATGGTGTGCTGTGATATGGAATATCCCTTTGGCTGGTTTGGGTCAGGTGTCCTGTCTCTGCTTCCTCCCAGCTTCCCGTGCCCCTCCTCACTGCAGAGCATGAGATTGAAAAGTCCTTGATCAGGGTAAACATTACTGAGCAACAACTAAAAACATTGGTGTTATCAGCATTGTTCCCAGACCAGAATCAAAACCAGAGCACTCCACCAGGTACTAAGGAGAAAAATGACTGCTACTGCTGAATGTGGGACAAGGCCACAAGGATGATGAGGGGACTGGAGCACCTGTATAATGACAGGCTAAGAAAGTTGGGGTTGTTCAGCCTGGAGAAGAGAAGGCTGCATGGAGACCTCCTAGCAGCCTTCCAGTATCTGAAGGGGGCCTATAGGGATGCTGGAGAGGGACTCTTCATTAGGGACTGTAGTGACAGGACAAGGGATAATGGGTTAAAACTTAATGAGGGGAAGTTTAGATTGGATATAAGGAAGAAGTTCTTTAAGGGTGGTGAGGCACTGGAATGGGTTGCCCAAGGAAGTTGTGAATGCTCATCCCTGGCGGTGTTCAAGGCCAGGTTGCACAGAGCCTTGGGTGACTTGGTTTAGTGTGACGTATCCCTGCCCATAGCAGGGGAGTTGGAACTGGATGATCTTAAGGTCCTTTCCAACCCTTAACTATTCTATGATTCTATGCCTGGAAATCTTGAAGATAAAAGGAATGACTTCTCATTCTCCCAGTTTTAAGGAACTCTGCACCAAGTCTGTGAAAGCAAGATATTCATGAGACCCTGTCAGTCACTCCAAGTATCAGAAACATGCTCTGCCTGTTGGTTCTGGCTCTGAAAGAGTGACGAGTTCCTTGGGATCAGTGGGATCCACACTCCCACTGAGGGGTCTTATTTCCCCTGGAAATCTTCTTGACAATAACTAGTCCTCAGTCCTATAGTTGCAACAAGAAGTTTTTCCTCAGTCATTACAAGCAGCACATTAAAAAGACAGCTCTAAAAGCTACTAACAACTATGTTGAATGGTGGCAAAGAACACCAGCTGATGGTTCATATAGGTTCATGCTGTTCACTAATGATTTTTCCTGCAGATCCAAGGTTGAAATGGTCAAAATCCCACAGGCACTGTGTGTGTGCAGCAGAGATGCGGCTGAAAGAAAGCTACATTTAAGTAACTTTTAAAAGCAATGAAATCTACTCCATTCTAAAAGTTTAAAGTTTTAAAGTTTATGGTATTTTCAAAGTTACTGAAGATCTAAGCAGTTCTACCTTTCAGCTGTGTCCTTACGGCCCTGCCATTTTCATAGTGGATGTCACTTAACTTTCCATACCTAAATTAAGGTTTTCCCTTCAGTACCAATTAATCATTGAGTTGCTATATCCTAAGTTTGATGAATTTCATTCAAAACACAGAATAGTCAAACCCCACCAAATTCACTCCCAGGTCGCACTTAAGTCAATGGCATAAAACCAGAGATAAGCTTGCTGCAAGTAACAGCAGAAGTGATGTAAAAGCCAGGGCACAGACATGGCCAAGCTGAGGGTGCTAAAACTGAGAATTGGAATTACTGTAGAAATTGGAAATGCAGACCTAAACTGAGCTCCTGCTTACTGCCCAAACACTGCTCCCACTTAACCAAAACCATATTGGATCTAGAAGAGTCCCTAATTTTGTTTCCAGGTCATCATATTACAAACAAACAGTAAGGTTTACCTTAGGATAAGCAGCTTTCTGCTTGGAGCAGAGCGAGAGCCCCAGGGTAAGACCAATACCCTATCTTAACTTTTTCCTTGTGAAAATCAGGACCATTTTGTCCCTTTGCATTCTGCTGCATGAACCGCATGCAAAAGAATTGGCTTCATTTTCCATAATGGGATAAAGTACAACTGGGAGAAACCATGGTGGGTAAGCTGCTCCATGAGCAGCTCCAAGGGGAATTTTAGCATGGAACTAAACCCCTACTTCTCAGCCACCATCAGCAGACATGCTAAGCTATCTCATGTCTAACCCTTCATGCTTCCCTTGGAGTCAGGAGGAGAACTATGCAGGGATAGCTCTCGACACTGAGGTTTGCTGGATCATGGGTGGCCCAAGCTTTCCTGCATCTACCACATCCTTCTCGCACCCTCCAGACCCGCTTTTACAGACCTGTGACGATACAACTGATGCAAGAACAACAAGGCTGATCTCATGTCTGAAAGCCCTACCCTCACAGTCTCATCTTCCTCTCTCTCCACCAAATCAGCCCATTTTTATTGCAATGCTTACACTACTGATGTGGCTTTTGTAGTTCAAGACATTAAATGCTCGGGTTCATTATCAGCCCCCTTCTGCACACTAGTACTTGGGGCTGACACTGCCTCTCCCTCTGCCATGGTGCCTGGTCCCCTGGCATCCCTCAAAAGCACCTCCACAGTATATTTGGCAGCATGTTTGTGGTTATATTTTTGCAAGGCAAACCAAACTAAATCAAACTGCTCCACACCAGAGAAGGCACACAAACACACACCAAGAACCACTGAAACCACCACATTCCCCAGGCAAGACTGGTACCAGAGTGTCAGCAAGTTTGGGTGATGCATTGCTATGACCCTACCAAGGGTCACACTGTCCCATGAGGGTGGAGCTTAGTGGAGGAGGGAGGGGGATCCAGGGAATAGAGGTGATTTGGGATGTGTCCCTGTACCAACCCTGTAGGCTGGAGTGCTTCTTAGAGGTGTCACACATTCAGTTGATGAGGGAGAAGCTCCTGCAGGAAACCTGTCCTCAATCAGGGAAGAAATGAAGGCTCTTGAGCTGTACCCTCACCTTTGGTCTGGAGGAAGAGGGGAGACTGTGACTTCTCAGTGGAGTGGGGGAGCAGCTGTAAAATATGCTGGCACATGTAGACACACAAGGTAAGCCTAAAATGAGGATCCTGACATGAACCTCTCCTCAGAGTTGCACCTGTAGTAGCTGAGAGTGGAAAAACTGCAAGAATGCCTAGAAATAGGCTTCTGGGGAGCCACTGCATGTCCTCAGAAAGCACTTAGAAGTACATGGGGACATCTCACAGATACACACACAGGCATATAGGTACAGACATCCATCCTACTGCCACACAGCTCGGACAAGGTTCCTCACCCTGAAAACCCTGGGGGACCTTGAGTCATGGCCACAGCTCGGCCCTCTTGGGGACTGGGTCTTCAGGGCTCAGAACAGATTAGAAGATGCAGTTGAACATAAAAGCACAGTGTTAGGGTGGGTTCAAGACCCTCCTTCAGGTTTTCTAAGATCAGAAGCTATTGGCCAGGAGACTTTTGTGTTGGTTTGAAATACTCAGCCAAAACACTGCTGCCAACAGCAGGGCTGGCGAGGTGCCACCCCAGAAACAGCAGCTAGGACTCCCCTGTGTTCATCCAGGGTCTGTGCTGGTACCTTGGCCCAAAACAGGGTGCTGGATGCACACCAGTGGCCCCCCAGTATGGCAAGAGCAACGTAGCTGCACAGTCCCTTCACCTCCCCATTCACAGGTCCAACTCTAGTCAGAGGAAGGTGATAAGTATTAGTGAGCCCTGCCTTGTTGAGTTAGTTCATGCTTATAATAATCACAGATAGGCTGGGCCATGGCCAGAGCTCTCTCTTACCTGTTGGGATGAAGTAGAAGCCTAAACCTACCAGTGGTGCATGTACCCACGTCCAAGCTGCGAGACTAGCAAAGGGAGTGCAGTGTCAGGCTCCTGAGTTAAACATGGTCCAAGAGCTTTCCTTGCAGGCCTTTCCCCCAGCCCTCAGGCTCCTTACAGCCATGGAACCAGGCACTGGAAGTATTTGCAGCTCACCACCAGCAGAGCCACCTGGTAGCCCTCGTTCTGAACACCTCCCTCGCCTCCTCTGACTGGGACCAGACATTGCTTGACTGCTCAAGCATATCCTTCCAGGCCTGTATGCCGAGGCACACAACAAAACAGATATATGACCATGCAAGGGATGTACATCAAACCATACAATAAGGCAGGCACCACAGCAGCAAGCAAGCCCCTCCAGAGTCACCATAAACAGCCAACACCCTTTCCTAGCCCATCTGCAGGAAGGTGCAGCCTCGTTGCTGGCTGGCAGACACACAAGGTGAGCTTTAAGTTGCTTGTGGTTTTGTTCTAAAGACCCTTCACTGCAAGGGTCAATGCCTAACTTGCCCCCACAGGAAGAAAAATATCCTCTTAATGCACAGTTGTTTACAGCATTAATAAAGAAATGCAGGATCCGTGGCCCAATGCTCAGGTTACAGCACAACTCCCAGATGAGGGTTTACAGAAACGCATGTTTAAAGATTCATATTTGCATATTTTACAGCATGGGAAATGGAACAAAATTTTAGGAAAAACTAAAAAAATCAATCAGGAGCCTCAAATTTTCTCAGGCCACTTTCTCATACAAGTAAAAATGCTTCCTTGTGCCAAGACCAAGATGAATAGTCCCCATTTCCAATGAAAATGTGCAAAGTTCAAGCAATTTTTAGTAAAACTGTGGCTTTTGCTAAGTGCTGATAAAAAATTAAATTATAATCAGATTTCATTAAAAATAGCTTGGGTTTTTTTCCAAAGGGCTGCAGTCGTAATGTTCCAAATGGATACCCATGGGATGCAGAGCAGCTCGGAACAGTAGCTCTATGAGTCTAGAGGCCTGAACAGATTTATTAAACACTTTAAGGCCAGGTCCATGGGGGCAGTTCTGTGTGTCTAACATGGCTCTGTTTCAAAGGAGGCAAAGCATCCACGCAGCTCCTCAGAGCTGAACCCCAGTGCCTTTAAAAGGCAGGATGTAGCTGCTTTTGGAACTCTTCCTCATTTGCCAAGAGC